TTTGTCATTAATCTCAATTCTTGCGTTCCAGGCGATTTTTCCCAACAGAAATTCTGCGAGAAGCTGGTAGTTCTTAATAGTAGAAGTGAGGAACTAAATACTTCACAATAAAGATGTTATATATATATATATATATTGATGTAAGGAGTTGGATTATCCCATCTTCTGTTTCTCTTTCACAATTAAAATGCCATACTGAAATAAGTAGTTTGAACTCTGTTCGACAACAAAATGAAATACAAATCTACTTTATATGTACTTTATTGCATGCTACACTTCAAGTATAATCTATATGCTAGTCTTCACAACACTATACACCCAAGCATTTTGCCCAACGAAAACACCTTGCAACTCGATTTGGTAGTGTATAGTCAGAAAGGGAAGACGGATCTGTCATTATTTCATCTTTACTTGACCATACGTAAACACCACGTTCTTGCCTGCTACCCGGGACAGTGTTGTCGAGTAAAAATGCAATCAAGAGTGCCACCACCATGTTCAATGACAGAAGTGCGTTTATGGCAAAATCGAGCTGAAAGCAATCCACAAAGGAAACGAGAGGATCAATCTTCATTGGTCAAAGTTGGAAATAATCGAGTAACTTATTTTGCTTCAAAGAAAAGTGAATACTGGATTTCAACACCAAATGAATATCGTAGAAAAAAAGAAAAGAACGACATTGATGACTTACATCTTTATTGCCAGTGCGTGCCGGTCCGTCTGATGCTGCTGAATAGGGAATGAGGTAACTGGGAAGAATTAAACTGGAGTTGGGTTGATACTGTTGAAAATAAGCCGGGACGGATAAACCGAGGAACAATGAAACACCAACTATTGTAATGTTTCTGAAACTTGCAGTTTGAGTATGCTGCAGTGTTGAGAGACCTAATGCCACGGTCAGAGCCCACATGAAGCATAATACAGCAGCAGCTAAAGCTTGAGGTATCGAAGCAAGAATAGCGCCCACTTTACCTACCAATGACAAGTTGAGAAGTCAAAATTACACAGCTATAGGCATCTAAACTTTGTTGTGAACTAAAATAAAGTGCAAGTGTATGTTTGTTACATAATATTTGACAGGACTCGACTGTATGAACAAGAATTTTGCTTATATTCTTTCTTAGAAATGTCTGCTATCCAATCCTCGCCACTGAACATACTATAAAAGGCATAATTCACATATAAATACTGATTGAATTGGACTGTCCAGTGCTATAAACACTTGATATGGTTTTCTGCTAATTATTATTCATATAAACAAGAATACAGATAAAACTTACCCGTGTTCCAAAATGCTCATACTAGAATTCCAAGAATGAGAAACTCGTGCAATTTTTCAAATGATGAAAAAGTATTAATGGTTTTAAAACATCAAGAAACTATTGAATGCCAAGCACTTTTTTGCACCCCACAAACACAATTTAATGGAACTCTGCGGAAGTGCTTTTGTTAAGAAAACAATTTTAGTTGATTTTCTCAGTTGAGCCAGAAAACATGAGATCGCATGAACAAGGAGCTCACAGTTTTCAACGCACACACAGCATCTCAATGTCAACGCTAGATTAGATAACAAGTATGCAGAGATTATTATACCGATGAATGAGAAAAGGATCATGAGAACTGCTCCAACTTCTACAACTCTTCGGCTTGCCATTTTCGTGATGTCAATAGTATGTACATTCTCTCTCAAGGTGGTCGACCCAGTCCCCGAGCCCCAAAGTCCAGCAAGTACACTGCAAAATCCTTCCAAACCAATTCCTCTACTGACAATGCCAGGCGTTGGAGCCTTCAAATTAATTCTCATGGATGCAGAATGATACGTACCAACCTGCTTTTGCAGTTTAGCATCAGTCACTTCAGAAATTACTCAGTCTAAATACTATATAAAGTACCAAGAATTCAAAAATAGCTGTCACCGAAATATTTTCTTCAAATGGTAGACGATAGAAATTTCCCATTAATATCTAATGTTTACTTGTTTACTAATGTTATTTGTCCCTGGTTCATTTTCTAAATTCCAGAAACCATCATTCACTAAAATATCTATCTCCTGCATTTTTAACCGCTAGGGTCAAAGTTGGTGATGGAGGATCTTGTGAACACAAGACTAGGGAAGATAATCCCCAACGAGGACCAAGGCATTGAAAGGAACAGCATATCATTAAAAATCAAAATACAAACTTCAAATACATCTTAAGACAGAATATGTACCGCTTAATATTTCAATAAGGAAATAAAGAAAGAAAAAGTATGTACGTGCATGATATACCCTTGTGGACAGTATTTAAGCTTTTCAATTGAATTAATTTATATAAGTATATTAACCGTGAAAACAAAGGAAAAAAAACTTGCTCTTAAGAATCTAAACCTAACTGAAATACATGTTAAAATACTGTATAATCCCTCCATTCCTTAAGTTTAGCAAAAAAAGAAAGGGATAAATATTTCTTTATAAAAAAACCTTCCCCCTTTTCATCGTTTTTTGACATATTGCTTCAATTAATAATTTCTGACTTTCGATAATCAAGCTAGTCAGAATATTTTACAAAAACTAGATGTTATTACTTTGTTACCATTTGATTTAAGAAATTCCTGCCACTGTGTGGCCTATAATTTTCTGCCAGAAGACGGCTGTGTTTGTGTGTGTGTTGGGTGGGGGAGTGGAATTCAAGAATATGTATTAGTATGACACTGCATTTTAGTCCTACACCGGTTGATTACTGACCGAGTCAATTGATGCAACGAGTGACACAATGATCATTATGATCGAAGTTCTCAATCGGTAGATAGGTATACCCCACTGCAAAGGGTAAGGGATCCGAACCCATGCAGCTGTCCTCATTGCATCAGAAACGTCTGTCCTGCAATGCCTCATGGTGTATGCATGTCTTCTACAAGCATCTATTAGAATATTGGAACTCGGTATATCTGGACTGCAGCCTTTGTAATTATATGCCCCACCAGCCGTCAGAAAGAATGCATATATCCAAATAATTACAACACTCAGGGGGACCTGAAATAGTCATTTTTTGATAATGCGACGAGTACAAAATAAAATAAAAGAAGGGAAATATTTTGCAATTTAGTAACTTTGCTTGAGGGTGGGTGGAGAAAGAGTTGTTGAGCATACTTTTGTCTAATCATTAACATAATCGAAATTAAGATACATACCGCATATATTCGGAAAACTCTGTGACCAAAAATAGATATCCCCCTAAGATACTGCAAATTAAAATAAGGATATTCAGCTATGTGAACTCCCCTAGTTGAACATCAATAAAAACATAACATCTTAATTAATCACAAAATACGTTCATACCAGCACTTATTTACCAAAGACATCAGCCATATTTTCTGGTCGAGAAGATGCTTACCAAGGTAAAAATAAGAACTAATAATATCTCTGGAAGGCTTATTTCCACACAGGCACCAGCTTGGGGGAAGCCATAGCTGAAAAATGCTAAACCTACTGCGGCAATTGTTGGTGCAACCACAACAGGGTTTATGAACCTTCAAAAAGTTGTATAACAAAATCAGATTTCTTGAAATATGAGCCCTCTGGAACTGGATCTTTAGATATTTAGATTTGAAACGTTGTATTGATAAAACGGCAAGGGTAATTGGTCCTTTTAAAGAAAGAAGAAGAAAATGAAACATTGCAAAAGTAACCACTCCATATTACATATTACCTTAAAAGTACAGACATCAAACCGCTGAAACCCAAGATACTCTGAAAAATTGAACCAATAATTATAGCACCTTGCAACTCCCTCATAATGTGCCTAAATTTCTGTAGATAACCAAATATGCATCAAAGCGTATTTAAAGAGATTAGAATAGAGTAATAAATCAAAGTCTGGCATAGTAATCTCAACTCCATTTCACCTTAAATCACCGGGTTAACCACCTGAATGGTGTAAATATCTTGCTTTTCTTTTAATAGAATACAATAATTCAAAAGCTTAGAGCAAAGAAATTACTGTGCTTTAAATATCTTCAGAACTTCTCAATTTTCAATTTAGTAGTGAGAAAGTCAAGTCAAAGAGTTATTGGTGAATTGAGGAGTAACAGAGATACTAAACAGATAGAAAAGTCTGGCATAGTAACCTCAACTCTTTTTTTTTTAATGCGTGTGTATGGCAGCAATTAATATTTACTTTTTAAATGATGAACAAAAAAATAGCTGCCGTTTGTATTCCTTATGCATTGCACACCTCTGAAATATGTTCTAACGGAAACTTATTTTATAGCAAAAGAGGATGGCCTTATGCAATGAAATAAACTTACATGTTCAGTGAGATTCCGGTACTCCCTAGAATTCATGATAGCTAGTGCAGGTGCCAGATACACAAACGAACTGCCTTGAACCAACGGGAGTCTAGTACCGAAATATGAATGCAGTATTGTGGTAATGCCAGAAACTAGAAGCATTGTGGAAATTACATAGGCAGTATCTTTCTGTCATGGGTTGGGGGGTTGAATGAGATGATGTAATTATATCCTCTAATCTCAAAGAGAAAATTTGACAGCATATGCTTACATCAGTTCCGCCCATGGCAGGTACAAATAACAGAGGGATGAAAATAAGTGAACCAGCCATGGATAAATAGTGCTGCAAACCATAGAATATAAGGGGCACTGCAGTTTACAGACCAATGAAAGTCAATAGAAAGTATAAAACTATCTAATGTTAATTACGATTCCCATAGACAGACACCAATAACTTGTCATAATTGAATGATCTCCTAATACTAATGGATAAGAATAATTGGAAAAGGAAAGAGAAGAAAAGAAAAGAAACTAGCCAAACAAGAGGCTTTTCTTGATGCTTTAAATAATCTGTAGCTCTTTCAAACTGGTCCTACCAACAAGGGTGAGAGATTTTCTAAAAATTACATAGCACGTAGTCTTCTTGCAATGTCATTTTCTATTAACTCCATACGGGGCCAAATAATGGGCCTGCTTGTTGTAACAAAACAAAAAATGGATATTAGGAACAAAAAGCAAGAGAACGATACTAGGTCACTGATAGAATATATATTTCTCGCACTCACCAATACAGGAACAAAAATTGGTCGAGTGAGTTTTTAATCAATGAACAAAAAGTTGGATGTGGTGTGTAATTTTTCCTTTGATTATAATCCACATGCAAAAATGATAAAGTATTTCTATGACATGTGACACAGTGCCGCTTGGAATCACATGATTCCCCACCAACTAGACTTTGTGATGGATTTTATTTGCAAAATTCTCATTTTCATTTGCTCTTTATTTGTGCCTTCCAATCAGAAATATACAAATAATACAAATTAAAGAACTGAATAAACAATGCTGTTTCCTCCTATTTTCAGTTGTGTCATGTGTGTTTACCTTCTCAGGTTTCAACAGAAATTCCTTTCACGAAATATTCAAATATAAACTTATTCAAGTACCAACAAATTGGAACTTGGTACGAAATCAATTCTGAGAAACAAATATACTGCAGGTTCTCCCTACAATGACAGATTTATTATCAAAGGCAGATGATTATATTTTTGTTTACGTCTTTCACTGCTAATATCAACAGTGTCAAAAAGATTTGTCTTTTCCAGCACCAAATTCTTCAGAGTAATGACAATTATTTATATTCTGCTAACAAACTACACCAGGCAACCTCAAATTTTCCAACAAGTCTGCACAAGATAAGGGTTGGGAAAACTAAAAAAAAATGCTAAATCAAAGTAAGTAACAACACAATCAACAACATTAAAGCACGATGCAAACTAACCAAAACCCGGATTATCCCTTGGTCCGCATATTATTTTTGGGGACTGATTCAAACCCCCTCCATCACCTGAATCCTCCCCATCTGGATACACATTAATTCCCACTTCTCTATCGAAATTCCCATCATCTTTCTTTTCCTCTACCAGCGCATTCGCCTCCGCACCTTGTCCATTCATGTTCCCATTTCTGGTTGCTGCTGCATTTCCATTCACATTAAGACCATCCCTCTGTACCTCAATATTAGACCCCAAAATGGGCTCCATTACCCCATTTTTCCTCCTCTCATTCTCACCCCTTACTGCTCCATCCCTTAACCCCAAAACCCCATTGTTTTCCCTTCCATTCCCATCCACACGAACGGGCTCAATCTCGACTCCTCTATCTCTAGTCCTACCCAGAATTGGATCAATCTCAATCTTGGGTGATATAGACTCATGCTTCTCAAGACCACCCTTCTCCAAATCAACCCTATCAACAAAAACATTATTATTAAATCTCTCATTCAAATCCCTCCTTCCACTCATACTTCTCTCAGTCTCACCAGAAAAAATTGACACAAAACCAGTCTTCTTAGCCCAAGATCTCAACTCCCTTGGATCATGCCCTTTTCTTGGTACAAAAGGCTGAATCTTTGGTTCCAAAACAGAACCCAGGTTCTGACCCTTTTCTCTATCACCCATATTTGCTATTTCTAAGCTCGAACCACTTCCCAAAACAGCTTTCCCTCGATAAAGATTCAAATTTTTTTTCAAGAAAAATCTAGATTTCCTTCTTTTTTCACAATCTTCCTGATTTCAAGAAGAAAAAAGATAAAGTTCTGGGTTTTAACTAAAGGAAGAGATGTGAAAGTGAACGTGAATGTGAAGTGGGGCGAGAGTGAGCAAGATAGCTGACAACAGAGCATCTTCTCAACAGGTCTTTATTTTGGTCTTTTGTTACCGCTTGGTAGCTGAGAAACTGGAGCTTTGGGTGTATTGAAATGACAAGAATGTCCTTATCAGATGGCCGTTAAAACAGTGGGTTTCTATTGGAGGACATGTCACTTGTGTCCCTCTGAAACGTAGGTTCCTTAATTTTGAAGTTTGTGCTCCTTTTTCTCTTTAATTTAATTGGAGTCAATGCAGCAATAATTTGTGGCTGAGCTGTTTGATGAGCATAATTAGAGCTTGTTTGGTAGGGATTAAAATCGGATTAAAATTAAAAAGTTAGTTGTTATTATTGACTTTTATTAGACGAGTGGGACCCAATAGCTACTATATTTTCAATTTTAATTGGATTAAAATCTCTCACAAACAAACTCTTAAGATAAAGAGAATTTACAAAATGGCCAATTTCGTGCTTGTCAATTGAAAAGTATCTAATTTTGATAATTCTTACAAAAATAGCCAAATTTGGTACCAAATTATCTATTATATCCTCAATAAAAAATGAATTAATTTTTTTAATTTGTCACGAATTTCGAGAAAAACAAGTAGCATCCATGAGAAGCTACATTAATGGTAGCTAATACCTAATGAATTCATTTGCTTTTATTATTTATTAGGTATAAATAATTTTGGAAAAAAATGAAAAAGATGAAGTAGAAAAGTTATTAACACTAAAAAATAATTATATGCTTCTAATTCA